CTATGTGGCCATCTGTAAGCCCCTGCACTACATGACCATCATGAGCCACCGTGTCTGTGGTGTGTTGGTGGCCGTTGCCTGGGTGGGGTCCTGTGTGCATTCTTTAGCTCAGATTTTTCTTGCCTTGAGTTTGCCGTTCTGTGGTCCCAACGTCATTGATCACTATTTCTGTGACTTGCAGCCCTTGTTGAAACTGGCCTGTTCAGACACCTACGTGATCAATCTACTTTTGGTTTCCAATAGCGGGGCCATTTGTACAGTGAGTTTTGTCATGCTGATGTTCTCCTATGTGTTCATCTTGCGATCTCTGAGAAATCACAGTGCTGAAGGAAGGAAGAAAGCTCTTTCCACCTGCATCTCCCACATCATAGTGGTCATCTTGTTTTTTGGACCTTGTATATTTATATACACACGCCCTGCAACCACCTTCCCCATGGATAAGATGATAGCTGTGTTTTATACACTTGGAACACCTTTGCTCAACCCTGTGATTTATACATTGAGGAATGCAGAAGTAAAAAATGCCATAAAGAAGTTGTGGAGCAAGAAATCAATTTCAGATGAATGAAGGTTTTGAATCATTCTTCATAGTTTGGAGTGACCTAGATAGAAGATGTGAACAGAGAATGTTATCTTCTTATTGTTGATTCAATATAATTCTATCTTAGGACGTATTAGTTCTTTTAGGAAAACAGACAATGTGAACACAAACACTGACTGATGTTGAGTCACATTCATGCAGAGGAAGAGACAGGTTGAGGTACATAGAGACACGTAAAGCCTATCACCTTCACCGTTGTTCATGGCTCTGTCTCTGGCTCTCTTGCCTGCCTCGTATCACTTGTGGTTTCGGTTTCTTGTTTTTTATGCTATTCTCCATGTTGCGTCCTGGAATTCCCTGCTAATAGTTATCTATCTATATGTCCAACGTTTATATCCACAGCCTGACAGATTTTTCTTTTTTTAAACAGTTTCCTTTATTAGGCGTTTTGCTTTCATCATATCTGGTGATCAATCCAGTTGTTCTTCCTGACCTAGCAGAGAGTACCAGATTTAAATAATTGTAGAAGCATCATGTAACAGGAGACCATATACATAATCTAGGTAATCTCCCTTTCAGTTCTTGGGGTTATACACTGAAATCTTACCATACGTTTATCTATATCATTCTAGAATAGGGGTGGAACACAGAGAGTAAATTCACCCTTCTGAGAGGGTTTGTGATCTTAGGAAGGATCTTACTGTTGGGGTTGCAGTCATTTAACTATTCTTTTTGTAAAATCTACCTTTTGCTCCTAATTTGATCTCTTCTAATTTGGGGACAATATTAAGTTTTCTCTTGAATCATAGTAATTATAGTCATTTGTTTATGATGAGGGTTACTATTTTTGAAACATAGATAGTTCAAATTAAGGTAGAGACATTTATGTGGGCTAGAAATGAAGAGTGCAACCAGTTGAGGGTAGGGAATTTGAATGTATTAACAGATTAAAAAAAGAATGTCATAACCAAGAGGAACATTTTTAGGCTTAAAACAGAAATAGTTGCATCACAGATGTAACTTATAGTGAGTTTTCAACAGAATCCAGAAGGGAGTAACTTGAACAGAACAGATGGAAATATTTGGATGGAAAGTATATTTTTGCAGTGGAGACGGCTATCACATT